GCTCCTATAGCAATCAGAGAATTAATATCTTACCTGTGACATCCAGGGTTACTCTAGGCTTAACCACAGAGACCATGTCATTGGGGACCTGGTGACGTCCTTGGGCCCTATCACTTGTCATCCAGGAGGTGTCAGTAGTCAGTCTACTACAGGGCAGGGAGAGGGGCACCCCAGAACCCCCAAAGCTGCTTGCTCTAAATAGTTTCTGCCATCTGCCGCATGGACACAAAACATTTAAGACTTTAATGGAAAGGAACTTTAACACAATTAGTAAACAATACAGAAAAGACAAAGAATCTGTTAGAGGTCAGGGAGAAGGGCAGCCCAGACACCACAAACCTGCCTGCTCTAAATAGGTTCTGCCATCCGCCGCATCAACAGAAAACATATGAGACTTAAATGAAAAGGAACGTTAATACAATTAGTAAACAATGCAGGAAAGGTAAAGAATATAGTTTCTAAAACAAGCATCCAAAGTTACCTGTGCCCTTGTGGGGAAAAGTCCACCCAAACAGGATTGGCCTAGAGCAAGGCCTGAAAGCCTCTCCAAAGTCTAAAGCGCCTTCCAGTGGGGACCCACAGAAAAGGATCAGAAACAACCAGACAAGTGTGGGAGGAAAAGAGCAAAATCAAAATCAAGACAAAAACCACCATTGTCACCTCCCCACCGGTCTCTTGCCCATGCTGTTGTCACCCAGTCCACGACCAAAAGGCAAGTGCAGTTTCTGCACGTGTCTCTCGGCTCCATGTGCCTCCTCCAGGTCTCCTTCTGGCTCCATCCTGCTTCTTTCCTTCTCAGTCTCCACTGCAGCTTCTTCTCTCCCTTCTCAGCTCCCTTCTCTCTCTTCCTTTGGGTTGGGCAGGGAACCTGGAACTTCCCCTTTACCTGGGGACCACCCTATTATCTTGGATATCTCATACAGAAACACATATTTTAACTGTCTTAATTTGTTTAGGTGAGATGTCATTAAATTTTAGTTTTCTTATAATAAGAAGCAAAAAAATAAACCTGCAAGCTCAACAATATTTAGAGAAAGTGATATTGTTTAACATTCTCATTCTTAAACTTAATAAGACCTTAGTTTTATATGAAATTTGGCCACCATTTAAATAATGATAAAAGAAAAAATTTAAGGGAGAGATACCAATTGTAGCTGTTAGTTTTTCTTAGGACAGGAATTTTAAATTAATTTCAGAGTTGCAAATTCTAACATCCCAAAAACCAAATTTCTTTCTTAGGCAAGTACTAGATAGATTGATGAAAACCAAGAAAAATAAGAGAGACTTAATATCATATACATTTCCTACATACCTGTGAGGAACACAGTGTTGCTAAGGAACTTGCCCATGAGGCTAGATTTTGCTAGGACAAGGGGAAAGAAAGAAGTCAATCTGGGATTTTTCTGGAAAAGAATTTTATCAAGAGATTTAGGACTAATCATCAAAATGCAAACTTATCTTTTTTGATGTAGACTAGGTCAATTACTCTTTTTTTTTTTCCTGAATACTGTGTGCTTCCTTTTGAAAATAGAGACATTTCAACATAAAATATTGATACTCAACATGAAAACTGTAAGGCTTGAATGCTACAAATTCAACCATTAAGTTTTGATCTAGTTTTTGATTACCAAAATCTTAAATCCTGATCTCAAAATTGGGAATTTTTTATTAGACTTTATATAGTTGTCATTTATAACTAATACTCCTAAGGCATTAGATAGTGATACAAACAGATTTTTTGATTTTTTTTTTTAAACTTTGGTCATGTGCATTAGTTTTAAAAAGTAGTTATTCATTTTTTTTAATAATAAATTTTATTTTTATATTCCCCAACAATTGCAACCCCCCCCCATTCTGACCCCAATCACTCCCCTCCCGCCACCCACCCCAAAAAAGTGTCACTGGTTCAAAGTTTTTTGTTGATTTTGATTTTTACTTTCGTATAGTTACTCATTTTCCTGGTCCCTTATTTAAGTTTTCTAGATTCCTGCTATGAGTGAGTCCATCCGGTAGTTTTGCTTTTCTTTCTGGCTTATTTCGCTGAGCATGATCCCTTCCAGCGCCATCCATGTTGCTGCAAACTGCATGTGTTTATCTTTTTTGAATGCTGAGTAATATTCCATGGTATATATGTACCACATCTTCTTGATCCAGTCATCTATTTTTGGGCATTTGGGCTGTTTCCAAAGCTTAGCTATTGTAAATAGTGCTGCTATAAACCTAGGGGTGCAGGTGTTCTTTGGAATTGATGTTTCTGTGTCCTTTGGGTAAATACCTAGGAGTGGAATTGCTGGATCATATGGAAGCTCTATGTTTAGTAGGTCCAGAAATCTCCACACAGCTCTCCATAGTGGTTGGACCAGTTTGCACTCCCACCAACAGTGCAGAGAGTTCCTTTTTCTCCACACCCTCGCCAATATTTGTTGTTGCTAGTTTTTTTAATATGTGCCATTCTCACTGGTGTAAGATGGTATCTCATGGTAGTTTTGATTTGCATTTCCCTGATTACAAGTGATGTTGAACATTTTTTCATATGTCTGTTGGCCATTTGCATTTCCTCTTCAGAGAAGTTTCTTTTTAGCTCTTCTGCCCAATTTTTGACTGGATTATTTTCTTTGTTGTTGTTGAGTCTCATCAGCTCTTTGCAGATTTTTGTGATCAGTTCTTTATCATTAGTGTTGTGTAAAAAAATGTTCTCCCAGTTGGTGGGGTTTCTCTTTGTTTTTGTTATTGTCTCTTTTGCTGTGCAGAAGCTCTTTAATTTGATGTAGTCCCAGCTGTTTATCTTTGCCTTCACTATCACTGCTTTGGGTGATGTGTTTGTAAAGATGTCTTTGATGTGCAAATCATGTAGTGTTTCGCCTATATTTCCTTCTATGTATTTTATGGTTTCAGGTCTTATGTCTAGTTCTTTAATCCATTTTGAGTTGATTTTTGTGTATGGTGTGAGGTAGTGGTCAAGCTTCATTCTTTTGCATGTGGCAACCCAGTTTTCCCAGCACCATTTATTGAACAAACTTTCTTTGCTCCAATGCATAGTTTTTGCTCCTTTGTCAAAGATTAGTTGACCATAAATCTGTGGGTTTATTTCTGGATTTTCTATTCGATTCCATTGGTCTGTGTGTCTGTTCTTGTTCCAATACCATGCAGTTTTGATGATTATGGCTTTGTAGTAGAGTTTGAAGTCTGGGAGTGTGATGCCTCCATTCCCTTCTTTTTTTTTTCAGGAGAGCTTGGCTATTCGGAGTTTTTTGTAATTCCATATGAATTTCATCAATAATTGTTCTAGTTCTTTGAAGAATGACATTGAGATTTTGATTGGAATAGCATTGAATCTGTATATTGCTTTTGGTAGGATGGCCATTTAATAATGTTTATTCTACCAATCCATGAGCAGGGGATGTCTTTCCATTTCTTTGTGTCTTCTTCTATTTCTTTTAATAGTGTTTTATAGTTTTCTTTGTATAGGTCCTTTACCTCTTCGGTCTCAGTGTCCAAGGCGACCCCAGGCGCTGAGCACGTGCTGCTGTCGCCCAGAATACAGGGCCCCCAAGGTCTACCTTGGCCAGCAGTACAACGGCCCCAAGGTGGACGTGTGGAGCCTGGGCATCATGCCCTACGAAATGGTGACCGGCACACTGCCCTTCAGGGGGCCCAGCCTCAGGGCAATCAGGGAGTGCGTCCTGGGTGGGAACGTCCACCAGACCACCTACTTCATGGTCCAGGGCGGGGACCTGCTGGCCAAAATGCTGGCACGGGACCCCTGGAAGCGCAGCACCCTGGAGAGCATCCAGCAGCACGCCTGGGTAGCAGAAACGAGCAGGGGACTCCTGCCCTTCAGCGAGCCGTCGCTCTGCCCCCAGGACCTGGCCATAACCAAAGGTATGGAGCGCCTGGGCTACCAGAGGCAGGAAATTCGGGAGGCCATTGACACTAACAAGTACCGCGAGGTCATGGCCACCTACCTGATCCTCTGCTCCAGGAAGCAGGCGGGGGAGGAGGACTATGAGGAGGAGGGCGAGGAGCGGCCCAGGCGCGTTACCTTCCAGGTGCCGAAGCGCGTCACCTTCCAGGATCCCGGTTACCCTGATTACAAGGACTCCCCACCCACCCCCACCCCGCCGGCACCTGAGGTTTGGGGAATACACCAAGGCCGGGTATCCTGGGAAAGCACCCAGTGCAGAAGATTGGAAAGGATACCCACCCCACTCCCTCAGCCTGAGGTTTTGGGGAATGCCCCAAGGCCAGGAATCCTGCGAAAGCAGGAAATCCAAAAGAGGGGAAAGTATGCCACCCCGGACAACAGGGTCATCTCCACCAGGTCCCTGAGCTGGAGGATGCGCAGCAGCACACCACTGCTGCAGGTCCAAGCCCCCTGCTAGAGGACACCCCAAAGGGCAGTCCCTCTGCGCTAGGCCCAGAGCTGGAGGATGCCTGGGGGACACCAGCACCTCTGTGGCTAGACCCCAGCAGGAGGACCCTGGGGAGCACAGGAGCACCGCGGTGTCAGTCCTCCAGCTGGAGAACACTGGGGAGCACGGCAGCACCACTGAGACAGGCCCCCAGCTGGAGAGGGGCCAGGAAAGCAGGGCCAACACGATCAGTCCAGCTCCCCAGCCCTCCAGCACCACCCTAAGACGTCCCCCAATATGTGACTGGCCTTCCAGTGCAGTGGCCCCTTCAGCAATCATCAGGGCCAGAGATAGAGTATTAGAAATTATCCTAGAATTTTGTTGCTGCTGTGCAGCATTGGAACTGGAGAGCAACAAAGATTAAAAATAGTGCCATACCCGGCAGAAGACCCCCCACCCCCAAAGAACAAGCACTCAGTGGCCATGGTGAACAGGAGTACACCAGGGAAGGTTGAGGCTCTGGAGAGGCTCCGGGGCTGGGCCCAGTCAGAGGGGCCAGGAGCAGCATGAGACTCACAGGACTGCAGCACAGAAGTCTGGGCAGCACTGATGTCCCTGGAGCAGAGCAGGTGAAGGACCAGACAGGCAACGAAACTGGTGAAGCATCTGGAGAGGAGCAGAGCGGGTGAGGGTTGGCGTGTGGAGGGGTTGGGGAGAGTTGAGCAGGTACAGGACCAGGAGAGGGGTGTGGGGCTGTGTGGGCAGAGCCTCCAGAGGTCCCAGGGCCACAGGCGAAGAACCCTAGGCCTCTCTCCCCCATCTTAGGTACTGCCCCCTTGGTGGGAGAAACCTGCTGCTCACCCCTGGGCACACAGATGGTGCAGAGGATGCAGGAGCTCTTGCAAAGGCTTGGGCCTGGGTGGTAAATCGTGCAGATTGCAAGGAGCACATAGATAGGCTCTCTAGCTCCCCTTAAGAAAGACTCTGGGACCAGTATATTAGAATCCAAACGGGACTCTCCAAGGTGGGCAGAGGTTATTCACAGAGCAGCCCTAATCCACCATGACCTGCTCAGCTGGAAAATCCGCACATCTTCCTGCTCCACGAAGCCTAGGCTATGATCAGTCTCAGTCCCGCAGTGAGCACACCTAGGTGTCCAGTGTCCCCTGGGCCGAAGCTGCAGCTCGTCATGGAGTACGTGCAGGAGGGATTTTGCAACTTGGGATTCTTACACAGTGTCAGTCCAGCTGGAATTTCTCCTTTTAAAAATCCTCTCCAGACGGCTACCCACCCTTCCTCCTCCCTGGATTCAAACCCTGCAGGGTGACCTTAGCCAAATTGGAAACATTAATATCGCCCAACAGATGCAGGCTTTGGACACCAGTCTCTGCCAATTAAATCACTGGGTACAGGAACGAAAAACTACAGGGGCTGTCTACCTTAAATTTGTGTTTTTTCATCATTGTTTAGATGGTGTTCAATTCCCTTCTAAAACTAAGGTTTTGCTAAGTTTGGTAAATGCAAGTAAGGTGAGGTATGAGTGTTTGAAAAAAGAAATGTATGGAAGAGGGATATTCTGAAGGGCCTTAAGATAATGTAAAGCCGGATGGGTAAAATGAAATGGCATTAGAATGAAAGCAAGCAAAAGAAAGTGTTGAAGGTCTGAGAGGGAGGTTTTGGTGAGAAATCGTGTGTACTCAGGTGTCTCCCCCTCCTCCAACACATTCATGGGCTTGCTCATCTGACCAGCAAAGCCCCCTCTGACTGAACTTTTGTCAGCTGAAGCTGGGGCCAGGACATCCAAACTTGGACCAACTCTCCCTTACTGCCATGGATCCTTCCCATAGTAGGCCTGGTGATCATGATCATGCTTTTATTTGTTTCTACACCCCATTTTCTCTGCTTTATCCAGGAAAAGCTCTCTGAGATGAGCCTTCGCACTCCCAGACCCGGGAAAGCCATTCCTGTTATTGACAGATGAGCAACAGGGCGTTGCTCTAGGGGTTCTGGGCCAACCTACGCCAGTCCAGCGAGCAGTTGCTTATTTCTCTAAACAAATGGATCCCACTGTAAGAGGATGGCAGCCCTGCCTGCGTGCACTTGCGGCAGCTTCTCGTCTCGCTAGACCTAAGGCCTTAAAACCCACACTGGGCCAACCTGTAAATGTTAGTTCTCCACATCGGCTCCAGGACCTGCTCACTCATCAGGCTCTCTCCCCTCCATCACCCTCTTGTCTGTTAGATTTCTACTCTCTTTGTCAAAGACCCTCTCATCTCCCTCTCCCAATCCTCCACTCTCCATCCTGCCAGGCTTCACGGGTGTTCCACTCCCTAACGCAGGTAACACCCTCTTCTTACTACGGTGGACACCATCACCATTCGGACAGTGGACCTGCCTTTATCTCAAAGATTACTCCACAGGTCTCCTCCCTGGGCATCACCTGGGAACTACACATTCCCTCCCGACTGCAATCCTCTGGTAAGGTAGAACGGGTAAATGGTCTGACCAGAGACCACCTAGCCAAACTCTCCACAGAGCCCACAAATCCTGGGTGGAGCTGCTCCCACTGGCTTTAGTGCACCTCCGAACCACTCCCCATGGCCCCTTGTTCCTGAGCCCCCTTGAACGGATGTATGGCAGACCTCTTCTTACTAACCATGAGCTCCGCGTCCAACCTACACTGTTGGCTGGATATTTTCCATACTTCTCTTTGCTCAGACAGCTGCTCCAAGAACACGCAGACCTTTGTCTGCCACAACCTGTGCCTCCGTCCCCTGATGCACCTGTCAACCTGCTGTGCCCTGGAGACCAGGTTCTTCTGAAAGCCATCTCTCCAAAAGCACTTCCGCCAAAGTGGATGGGTCCACACACGATCATCCTGACTACACCAACGGCTGTCAAGGCATCAGCTGTCCAGGGTCAAAGTGGTCCCTGTGGACAAGCAGTATGTATACAAGCACATGGGCCCAACTCGGGTTTGCATCAATGCATCCCTGGTCCACATCCCACTCAGCCTATAGAGTAGAGGCCCTCTGATTCTCCTTCCTCTGTTTCTTTTTTTTTTTTTCTTTAAAGATTTATTTATGCAAGCACTGGGTACAGTCAGAAACACAAGAGGGTGAGAGAACTCACCAGAGACAAAGCGAAGAGCAGAACAGGCAGACTTGACGAAGCACACTGCTGAGGGGAGCAGTGGGCGGCAGGAGAGGTCTGCCCGCCATGTGGGACCCTCGCCTTGAGGCCAGGGATTGAACCAGTGCTGTAGAGGCTGTGGGCAGCTTCACAACCCAGCGCTCAACCGTAAACCGCTGCGCCACCGGGGAGGCCCCTCTCCTTCCTCTGATTCTAATCCCATCTCTTCAAGCCACTTCCAGTTCTTCTGTCTATGCCCAGCAATTCCAGATCAGCACAGCCTCGGACCAGGTATTACCACTCACAGGGCTTCTTATCCTAATCTCCTCATTTTTTCTTTTTGCCCCATGCTTAGTCCATTTCATCCAACACCGGATCCAAGAATTGTCCCATACCACCTTTAACCAACTCCTTCTCCACCCATATCCTCGCGCTGCAAAGACTGTCTCATAACCAGGCCTGAGCGCCCACCCTGGTCTTCGCCCCTGTCCAGCAGGAAGTAGCCAAAGAGAGAACCATTGCCCCTTTTCAACAAAAGGCTGGTATGAAAGGTCGATGCAGGGGCCAGGAATGGGGAAGCCCACATACAAACAACAAGATGGCCCTGACACCAGTACCCCTGATTCCATCAAACCAAAACTGAAGCCATAAGCAGGAGAAAACAACTCGGCTCCACAAAAAAACAACTTAGTTCCCCCTAAGCCTGTTTCCCCCCGCTACCAACCCAGTTTTCCTGCCTAACCTCTCCTCACCCTATGAAATGACATCTCCCCCCACAACGTGCACGATTTCAGGGACACCCATCTTGGGTATGACGCTTGCCTGGGGGCGCAATGAATTGTCCCTTCCTTTGAGGAAGTTTAGCTTGGCTCCCCTTTTCTTTACTGCGCCAAACTGTTACAGGGCAGCCCCGGTATAAAAAGGGTTGTTTGACTGTTTCCCGATTCTGGTGGAGTGTTTCGGATTCTGGTGGAGCTGCCCGGACAGGGCCGGTTCTGAGATGGGCAGAGTTGGGGGTCCTGGAGGGCGGCGTCCTGGTGGTGAGATGCTCTGTGAGGAGTCAGAGAAGCAGGGCTCAGAGGAGAGGAGACTCGGGGGAATGCCCTGGGTGTGAGGTTTCCAGCTTTTCTCCCCAGGACCCCTCTCTCCAGCCTCTGGATAACAAAACCTTGGGAAACAGGAAAGTAGATCATTTTTTCCTTTTACAACCTATTTAGTATTGAGGACTTAAAAAAAAAACATAACATTTAATGAATACTGTTAAATTTACAGAAAAGTTGCAAAGATAGTACAGTTCTTATTCATCCCACACCATTTCCACTTTGTTAACATCTTACATGAATACAGTTGTCTTTTTTTTTCACAGCTAATGAAGCAATGTTGACACAGTGACCAAACTCCGTGCTTAATTTCATCAGTTTTTCCTAATGTACATTTTATGTTCCATAATCCAAATTGCCTCACTCAGTTACAGCCAGTTCTCCTCGATGTGCCTCTTGCTGACTGTTTCTCTGACTTTGCTTGTTTTTATAACGTTGACATTGGTGAGGAGTGATATTTTGGAGAGGTGTTGGGTTCACAGTTGGGGTTCTTGGGTCACGTGGGTTCACAGTTGGGGTTCTTGGGTCACGTCTGAGAAAAGTTTCACCACCCTCCCCCACCCACTGAGTAGGCTCTCTCCGACCAACGGAAAGGAGGGAAAAAAAAAACTGCAAGAACGAACTACAGATCAAGTGGGACACTGAGTAGAGAGGAACTATTTCAGGCACCGCACCCCACAAATGGGAACTGTGGAGAACGGTGAAGAAATCACCACAGAGGTGATCGAGCGGCTCCGGGCGCCATCAGAGGAAGACAAGGATTCCACGGAGACCTACAAATAGTCTAAGGCCAGCTGAGAACCACTGGGAAAAAGCAAAGGTCAGCAAGGACAGGTCTCTGGTGCCACCTCATGACCAGAACAAAATCACCAACTAACTGATTCCCTGTTGGAACTAAGTAAATACAGAGGGAGGGAACTGTAAGGGACAGTGCCCAGCAACACAGCATCAACACTCTGGTGGAGTGTTGTCTCCAGTGCCAGTCTCAGTCTGGTGAACAGTTTCCGACACCCCTAAAGGAGCACTCCAAAGAGATGGAAGCCACCCTTAGGACAACTTGGATCCTTCTCCTTTGGGGACTTGCTGGCGCGGGGTTGCACAGAGAGGAGGGGGCAGAGCTTGCTGGCTTTCAGGGCTGCTTCAGAACCCAGGGGTTCTCTGAGCCCCTCTGGCTGCCCCCCCCAACAGTAAATGGACTGAACAGTGAAGAGGAGGAGGAAGAGGAGGACAAGGGTCCCCTGACAAAACTAAGCATCCCGGACGATCTAGACAGCTGCGAGGCCATGGTGAGCTTGGCCCTGGAGCCCCTTCCCTGCCCCACCTTCCCCCTCCCACCAGCACACCCTTCTTCTTGGTTCCCACCTCTGCTGGGAGCCAGTGGGTAGACACCAACACCATCCTCGAATCTCAGGTGTGCCCACGGAGGCCCTGAGAGGTGTGCCTCCCAACCTCCTGCCGGGCCCACAGGGGCACCCTGCACCTCTGGCCCACAGGTGGCATTTTGTAACTCGGCCTTGGCCAGTGCTGAGGAAGAACAGGCGCGGCTGCACAGGCAGCTAAAGGAGCAAAAGCTGCTCTGCTGGCTCCTGGCTCAGCAGGTAGCCCCATGGGACCAGGAGCCTGAGAAGATGGAGGCCCCAGCCCCCGGGGGGAAAGTGTGCCTGGGGAGACCCACCAGGCCCTTCAGGGAGCCTGGTGAGAAGAAGAAACTGCAGGTGAGTGTGTGTAAGGCAGGAAGGAATGGCCACAGGGCAGGTTTTCTGATCCAGCAGACCGGGTAAAGGAGAAGTGAGTCCTGGAAGCCTCAGTGAATTTTGCAGACTTTATTGGGATTTACCAGATACATGGCAGGTAGGGGTGCTAGGGGGCCAGGAGGCTGACAGGCCTCCCAGCCCGCAGCAAGTCTTCACTCTTTCTGGGCTCTCTGGCGTTCTCTGGTGGTCTCTGCTGCTCTGCTCTCTCGGTTCTGCTTCTGCTTCTCTGCTGCTGCTGGCGTCCCCATGACGCCACCCTTAAAAGCCCATCTTAGCCCAGGGGAATCCCATCTACCTATGCCCACACCCTACTCCAGGTGCCCGCATCAGGCATGCATTCGGGACCGCAGGGTTCCATCATCCATCCTATGGGCGGGAGAGCAGAAAAGCCTGATACTTTTACCTTACCCTACAATCCACCCCCTCAGGGTTTTCTGACAGACAGTCTATACAAGTGATACACACGTTTCTCTTGACGAATAGGAACACTGCAGCCATGGCCCACAAAAGCAAATGAAATATATCACAATGAAATATAACAGAACACAAATAAGTCCAGGCAGGGCATCAACCTAGTGGCAAAAGACAATTATTGGCACCAGTAGATGATCCACCACTTCCGCTGCCGAAGGCACTGCTCATGCGAGGGAGGGAACCACTCAGGCATCAGCTGTCACACGCCAGGAGCCATCAGGCCTCCCGGCCCCCTCCGGCTGCAGTCTCGGCCACAAGCCACACACCACATCCACCCCCAGGATGCACTCACTCTTGGGTTGGCGATTCTGTACTCTTTGGGTGTAATCGCCCATCCCTCAGGGTTTTCTATCTGTGGTCGCTCCAACGCTCCAGCATGCAGGCCCCTGCACTCAGGCCAACCCACTGCACAAGCACATGGGTCGGGGATCCGTGGATACAAGTCCACATGCAGCCTCTCTTGGGTCCCCTCTTTGGCTGTGGGCTCCACCACAAGCCACGTTCCCTACCCACCCCCAAAGATGGGCTCCTCAGCTCCTCACCCTCAACTATGAGCAGGGCATCACCCACAGGTGATTTTAAAAGACTCACTGGCCTTTAGCTTACGTAGTGCGTAACAGCCGCTCAGGGCTTCCCGAACTTAGCACCAGCTTTTGCCTTCTCAGTTGGCTTTTCTCCTCTGCTTAGCTGCTGGGCAGTACACCGGCTGCCTTTGGCCACCAAGGCCCACTGACACCCCCAGACTCCCATCTCTGGGGGTGGACAATCCCATCCTTCCTCAGGGTCCCCAAAACATATCAAACTTGCCAAGGTCCTCCCCCTTCTGGCGGGATTGTTAGTCCATTAGTCCAAGTTCATCGGCTTTTCCCTTTGTCCACACTGGGGAGCTCTGAGTCGTGGTCCTTTCTCCCCCGATGATTCTTGCTGCCTAGTCGGGGATTGTTGGCTGGTCCTCTCGGGCATCTCCTCCTCCAGGCGAGGTCTCATCCCGCAGCTCCCGGACTTTGCCCTTCCCCTGTCCCGCCATGACACGTCCAGCGCTGTCACAGGCAAACACTGCTGCTCCTCAGTCCCTCCCGGTCTTCGGAGGGCTCCATACCGGTCTGCATGGATCATCGTGCTGACTTACACCAATTGTAAGAGAGGAGGGAATGGACACGGGGCAAGTTTTCTGATCCAGCAGACTGGGTCCAGGAGAAGAGAGTCCTGGAAGCCTCAGTGGCTTTTGTAGGCTTTTATTGGGATTTACTGGATACATGGCAGGTAGGGGTGCTAGGGGGTCAGGAGGCTGGCAGGCCTCCCAGCCCCCAGCAAGTCTTCACTCTTTCTGGGCTCTCTGGCGTTCTCTGGTGGTCTCTGCTGCTCTGCTCTCTCGGTTCTGCTTACGTTTCTCTGCTTTTGCTGTGAATGCCACCCTTAAAAGCCCAGTCTTAGCCCAGGTGAATCCCATCTACATATGCCCACACCCTACTCCAGGTGCCTGCATCAGGCTTGCATTCAGACCACAGGGTTCCCTCATCTATCCTAAAGGCGGGAGGGCAGAAAAGCCTGATAGTTTTATCTTACCCTACAGTGTGGTTTTCCGGAGGGCTGGGCGGGCTGGGTGCTGGGCAGGCCGGCACTGCTGAGCCCCTGAGCCCGCTGTCTGGCCGAGGGCCGCTTTACTGAGCTCATGCAGGAGAAAGTGGGCTTACAGGACTGGATGGAGGAGCTGGAGCATCGATGTATCCAGATGTCTGGAGAGACTGTCACCATCGGTGAGCGGGGAGGCTTGTGCCCTGCAGCTGGGGTGCTATGCAGAGGCTGGGGAGACCCCAGCAGCTAAGCTGTCTGCGCGCCCTCCCCCTAGGAGAATACATCGCTCTCTACCAGTACCAGAGAGCAGTGATGAGGGAGGAGCACCAAGAGAAGGAGGAGTCCATAAGGCAGCTGGCCCAGGACAAAGAGGAGATGAAGGTAGTCAGAGCTCTGGCTCCATGGTGGTGCGGCTGGGGGCGGGGCGGGCTTCTGAGCATCTCTGCTTCCAGGTGAAGCTGTTAGAGCTGCAAGAGCTGGTTTTGCGGCTGGTGGAGGCACGCAACGAATGGCGGGCGAAGCCCTGAGCACCTGCCCAGAACCCTGCTGCTGAGCCCACTAGCGCATGCCTAGTCCCCAAGAAGCTTGGCACCGCCAACGTCCAAGGTGAGGAAAGCCCCTAACGGGGGCTGGTCAGGAAGAGCACACTCCGCCAGGCACACAGCATCCTGTCTCTGTCTCTCTGTAGGGTAAAGAAAATATCAGGCTTTTCTGCTCTTCCGCCATCAGGATAGATGATGGATCCTTGTCCTGAATGCATGCCTGATGGCGGGCACCTGGAGTAGGGTGTGGGCATAGGTAGATGGGATTCAGCTGAGCTAAGACTGTGCTTTTTAAGGGCGGCGTCACGGGGACGCCAGCAGCAGCAGTAGAAGCCGAAGCTGAAGCCGGAAGAGAAGCCGAGATCACCAGAGAGCCCAGATAAAGTGAAGATTTGCTTCACCCCTGCCTGCCATATGCCTGGTGAACCCCAATAAAAAAACTGCAAAACCACTGAGGACTCTGACTCCTCCTTTACCCGGTCTGCATGGGATCAGAAAACCTGCGCTGTGCCCTGCTCCAGCCCTTACACTCTCTAAAGAACCAAGTAAGGTGAGCCTTGTCCACGATGTGCAGCCGACCCAGGGCGAGGCCCAGCTGGGCCTGACTCCCCTCGAGAACGCCTCTGCGCAGCAGGTCGTTCAGCTGCTTCAAGAAATGCAGAACTCCCAGGAAGGCGTCACCATTGGAAACAGCCCATGCCTTCCCTTCTTCTACCAGGCTGACGAGAAGGAGGTGAAGATAATGGTGGTCTAGGCCACCGGCATGGGGCCGGAGGCTCTGCCCCCACCTGGCCCTCACCAACCCATCCCTGTTCCCCAGGCTTTCCCCCCCATCCTTTGGCTCTCCTTCCCAGTCGTCCTTTCATCCCTCGGCTTAAAAAAGGGGTCCAACAACTCCCCTATCTAATAGGGTGAAATAGGTGCAGACCCTAGCCTCTGAGGTTAGGGCTGTGTCTTCATTTAACTCTGGACTAATCATACTTCCAGAGGCAAGGAGCTAGAAATATCCAGCTAGTTATTTAGGGGGCTCCGTTCTACAATATAGGGGCTCCTTGAATGACCAATTGAATCCTTACCAGGCCTTCTTGCAGAGGGCCTAGGTTATATTAGGCAATTTTGGGCCACGTGCCCCCCACCTCACCCCAACCATGTCGAGCGGGGCAGCACTTTGAAAGCCCAGCACGGGGGCTAAGTCCAGACAGAGATACCAGCTGAGGCAGGTGGGCACCAACACCTGTCTAGAGTGTAGCCACAGAGATAGCAGTGGTTTATTTGAGACCACCCAGATCCACAAAGGGGTGGCCTCCCCTGCTCCCTTTTGAAATTTCCCCATGGGCCTTTGCACCCAATTTTGTTTTTGTTTTTCTTTGTTTTGTTTTGTTTTTAATTTTTTGTTGGACCCAATAATTGTTTTGATTTTTCTTTATTTTTTTTTTTATTTTTACCTTTATCACAGCGGAGGCTGTGGTGGCCCCTGGGAGAGGAGGTTTCTATGAATCAGTTGACATGGAGGAAACTTATTTATAGATCGCCCAGGACAGAGGAAGGAGGCAAGGCCAGGGAGTGGTTCCTGGTGTTTCACTTTTGTTTCTGAATAAACCGAACTCACCACGTGGTTGGGCCCTGGGATCTGGGCTCAGGCGCTGCGCTGGGTGTGGGTCCTGCCAGCAGAGGGCAGGCTTCGGGGTGCGAGGTGCGCATTGGCGCCTGTGGGCTGCGTGCCGCCCCGGGAGGGCCAGAGTACTGGCTTCCAGCCTAGGCATTTCTCCTCTCACCCTGTTCTTCTGGGGCCCCCACCCAGGCCACAGCAGGGTTCAGATGAAGACCAGCTAAGTCCAGGTGCTTTCCCGAGCAGCCTGGGAAAAACTGGGGCCTCCCAGGCACCCCTGCGCCCTCATGCTTAAACCTTCCCTTCCCCCTGAACTCCACAGAACACAGCCAGCACACAACACATTGCTCCCCATTGTTCAGAAATGGGTTTCATTCTCAGCCAAGAGACAGCAGGACTGGTCGCGGCCAGAAGCACACAGCTGCCGGGACAGCACCCCCATGCTCGGGGAAGGGGCAGGAAGGTGGCTGGGGGGGCTGACTGTGCACAGGCTGGGAATGGCAGGGAGGCTCGTCGGAGGTGGCACGTGTTGGCGGGGGTGGCTGGGGTGACAGTGTTTGCTTGTAGTTGGGCCACAAGACTCAGAAGGACAGCACAGCCGGCGGTTCCCAGCACCAGAGATGCGTGTGTGCACGTGTGTGTGTGCCCGTGTATTTATAGACATGTATAGAGCAGGGCAGGAGCAATACCACCGAGGGGGCACAAGAGTCACCGAGGTCACGCCTGGGGTGTCAGCTCACCACCACTACAGACTAAAGTCACAGATGAAGGGGGAGGCATGGGGGCCGGGGGCCAAGTCACAGAACAGTCACCCAGGCAGGCCCGGGAAGAGAGGTGTCCCAGGAAGAGGAGGGGTCTGGTTAGAGGTCGAAGGGGGCCCTGGGGCTCTCAGGATGGGATGGACTTGCCTGACCCGATCAGCTGGCAGCTGGAGAGAAGCAGAGAGAAATCGGGGGAGGGCAGAGAAGGGGGAGAGCTGGGAAGGCAGGTGCAGCCTGGGCTGCAGCGCTGGGGGGAGGTGGGGAGGGAAGACGAAGCAGGGGAGGGTGTGGGCAGGGGTTCTGGATGAGAGGAGAGGGGGGACAGGGAGGGGGGATGCAGGAGCAGGAGCTGGAGCCTCTCCCTGCTCACTCGCCGGCCTCTCACACACACGAGACAGTGCACCCGTGTGCCAGACATGTGATCGGCCCCCTCCGGCTCCCTCCTCTCTGCTCCCCTGTCTTTCAACCCACCAGCCCAGGGTCACCCTTAGTGTCAGGAGTAGGCGGCCTCGGGCCCCACGTGACTCCACCATTTCTGATGGAGAAAGACAGGGGAATACCACTGTTTGCCCCGGGAGGGCAGAGCTGAGAGGATGGCTGGAGGGAGCACCGGGGGCCCCCTGGGGTAGGCAGAAAGCACAGTAGTTCCCCATATGGACCCTGGGGAGGCAGGGAGGACAGGAGGCCAGATGCTAGTGGCCACAGGCTTATAAGTCTAAGGGGAGCCTCAGCAGGCTGGGGGACCACAGGTCGTGTAGGTGAGGCTGGGCCCTTCCTGGTGTGGAAAAGCAGAAGAGCAAGCATCAGTGTAGGGGTGCGGGGGCAGGCAGGTCTGTGGGGCAAGTTTTACTGACCAGCTTGGGTAGAACTCAGAGAAGCCGACTTGCCCAGGTCAGCTGACACTGAGGTCCCCTGGCTGAAAAAGGAGAAGTGACACTATGGAACAGCAGGCCCAGGTCCATGGGCCTGCAGGCAGGCTTCGGTGCTTCACCTGGGGCACAGGGACTGCCTTGGCCCTGTGCTGGTGGGAACAGCAACAGCAGGCACGGAGGGCAAGGTGCTCTGTGGCCTGCCTGGTTGCAAGGTGGCTGCGGGCCGAGGGTGTGGCTTGGACCCTCAGGCTTTCCAAAAGCCATCAGACAACCTGAGCCTTCCTGAAGGCGACTCAGTTGCCACAATAAGGAGGGGTCAGACCTCCTCTGCCCTGTGGTGGATCCAGTTCCAAAGCTCCCAAGGCGGCTGCCCTGCCCCAGCAGCACACTCACATAGGGGGATGGGGGCTGCACCCCCAGCATGAATTTCGAAGGCTCCCTGACGGCCTGCTCCCTGACAGCGGCACAAGCGGCCTATCAGCTCAACACCCTGCGTGACCATCTGCACTGCGGGTCCTCGAGCCTAGAGACTTCCACAGCCAGAGAACATCCACCTAGGTGGAAGGCCCGGGTAAGACAAGTCTCAGTGGCTGTCTTCAGTCGGAGGTACTTTGGGAACCTGGGGTTGGCTTGCCTGCATGAACTTAAGTGTGTGTGTGACCAATATAGGAATCAAATTCTCTCTGAGAGCCAACTTCTGACTGAAGCTTATCTATCACCCTCGCGGCAGATGCCTTCTCTCAAACCTCGGTCCCTTGGAGCTTAGGCCAGATATGTGCCCTAAGCGTCTCATCTTTTACTGCAGCGCTGCGTGGCCTCAATACCAATTGGACAATGGCTCCCACGGGCCGAGCATGGCGCTTTTGACTTCTCGATCCTTACAGACCTAAAGAGTTCTGTCACCGCAATGGAAAATGGTCAGAGATCCCTTCGGGCCAGGCTGGCTTTCTCTTGTGCTCCCGTGGCCCCCTCCAGCCCCTCCCTCCTGAAAACCTGCCACACTCTCCAAGTCTTGAGACTCCTCTCACTCTCCCCTCTCTGGACCCTCTTCAACGTTTTCTGATCCTCTAGATTCTCAGTATTCACCTCCTCCAGCTCCCCAATCCGGCCTCCCCTCTTTTTTTCACCTCCTAGCCACCACACCCGTTCTGGGTGGTCCTCTTCTGGGTCCCCTCAGGGAAGTGGCGGGGACTGAAGGAGGAGTTAGGGTCCATGGTCCTTCCTCTCTGTCTGGTCTCTCCCAGACTGAAAAGCTTCTTGGCTCTTTCACTAACAATCCCACCACCTACACCAAAGAGTTTCCTTGTCTTACCCAAGCCTGTGACCTTACTTGTCATGATTACATGTGATCCTCTCTTCCACCCTGACCTCTGACAAAAGGGAGCAGGTTTTTAGGTCTGCCCAAGACCATGCAGATCAGGTCCCTGTGACTGACACAACCATGGCCCCAGGCTCTGCAGCAGTTCCCAGCCCAGAGCTGGGGTGGGGCTACCAGACTGACACAGGCAGGGCCCCCGGGGCAGGACTCACCAAGACCATTTTATTACCTGTCTCCTAGCTGGTCTCCAAGCGGCTGCGCACAAAAGTGTAAATTTTGCTAAGCTCAGGGAGATCACCCAGTCTGCCTCAGAAAACCCTGCTGCCTTCCTTAGTCGCCTGACGGAGGCGTTCCAGCACCATACCAGGCTTGACCCTGACTCAAATGGAGGCTCAACAGTTCTGGCTACCCATTTTATATCTCAGTCAGCTCCTGACATTAATAGAAGCTTAAGAAGTTTGAGAGGACTCCCCTGATGGCGCAGATGGCAAAGTGCCGCGCTGTGAGTCTCTCCGAGGCCTCTGCAGTGCCGGTTCCATGCCGGCCGGCCAGCTAGGGTCCCACATGGCACAGCAGACCTCTCCTGCCTCGCCCGCTACTCCCTTCAGCAGTGTATTTCGTCAGTCTGCCTGTTCTGTTCCCCACTCTGTCTCTAGTGAATCCTCTCACCCTCCCACGTATCTGGCCTGACCCCGGTTCTAGTGTAAATGAATAAATAAAGCTTTTTTTTTTTTTTTTAAAGAAGGCTGAGGACTGTCCTCAAACCCCTATCCAGGATCTGCTGAATATGGCCTTGACAGTTTTTAAAAACCGGAAGGAACAGGACAGGGCAGAGAGGGAACTCCGTAGTCTTCAGAAGGCTGGGTTTCAAGCTCAGGCCCTGGTAGGGTCTTGAGACCGCCAGGCCATGTTCCTCCAACCACCGCAGTGCCTGCCGCCCGACAGAGGACGACAACGGGCCCCATGGCCCCCAACCGACCACCGCTGGGAGCCTGCTTCAAATGTGGTCGAGAAGGCCACTGGTCCAGACAATGCCCCAACCCCTGCCAGCACCATGCCCCACCTGCAACGTCCAGGGTCACTGGAAAAGTGACTGTCCCTCCATGCCTGGCTGCGGTGGACCAGTCCTTCCAGCCCATGCAACTCTTGCCACCGGCGGTCTTCGGTTTGGCAGCTGAGGACTAAGAGGCCCGGACTCATCGACCCCGATAAACTTCAAGGAGCCCAGGGTAACAGTCAAGGTAGCAGGTAAGTCCAACTCCTTTCTGGGCTCTCCTTTAATATGTTGCTGGCCTCCTCCTCTGCAGACCTTCTCTGCCACAATCTCAGCAACACACTGCACAACTCCTCACCTTCCTGGGCTCAAAAGGATACCGTGTCTCCCCGTCCAAAGCCCAACTTTCAGTTCCCACAGCCGTCTATCTGGGTCTTCCACTAACTCCTTCCTCCAAACAGCTGACGGTGGACCACAAACAGGCCATCCGGGACCTTCCCTCCCCTGAATCGGCAGAACAAATCCTTTCCTTCCTAGGTTTGGTCAGATTCTTCCGTCACTGGATCCCTAATTTTGCTTTCCTAGCCAAGCCACTGTACGACACAGCAAAAGCCTCCCTCGAAGGACTTCTCCAATCTCCCGGGAGGTCTGCAGGGCCTTCCTTTTACTCACACATATCCTCCTTAGGGCACCTGTCCTTGGCCTTCCTGACCCAGAAAAGCCTTTCCTCCTGTGCACAGACGCACGTCGGGGTATGGCGGCAGGCGGCCTTTCCCAGCCTCTGGGCCCAGCCCTGTGTCCTGTCGCTTATCTCTCCAAGCAGATGGATCCCACCGTCAGGGGCTGGCAACCTTGCCTTAGAGCCCTGGCGGCGGCAGCTCTACTCACCCGGGAACCCCTCAAACTTACTCTGGGAAGACCTGTCCAAGCACATTCCTCGCACCGCCTTCAGGCCCTCCTGTCTCCCCGCCCGCTCTCCACTCTCACTCCTGCCCGCTCACAGGACTTCCACGTGCTCTTTATCGAAA